TGCTGGAGTTTGACAGTTGTTTAACTCCAGTGGCTGAAGGAAGGGATTACTGCCATCTATTTGTGCCAGTTCAGCTTTTTGTGAGGCTCTCCAGCATAGTCTGCTTTTTTTTCGCTTGCACCATAACTTAGAAATGCATTTCAGAAAGTGGTCTGGCATTATAATGTGAAAAGCACGAGCTACTAATGCGATTTGGCCATGATGCACACAATCCTACAGCGCCTTTGAAGAGGCATTTCCTAGAGACTGAAAACAATGTTGATACCCTAGAAGAATCCTCAAATTTCACCTCAAAAACTGCATGTGCTTCTGGCCAGCCTGGTCAAGAAGGGTGAGCTGGGAACGGAGCGTGTCGAGCTCGCTGTTGTGGCAAGGCTGGAGGAGAAGCTCCCAGGAGAGAGGCCGTGCAAGCCCGGGATAGAAGTGGAGTGTGATGATGCTCCATAAATATGTTGCAGAGCTGAATTCAGAGCTCCCAGCTCAGCTGAGTGGGTGCCCAATTACAGGCTTAAGCTACCATTTCTGAGCCCCACCTTTCTCCACACACATCATTCCATGTGCCCTGTCCCGTGTGCAAGGCAATCACTGCTCCATGAGCACAGCTCTGGCTCCTCTGTGCTTCAGAGGGTTCACCCAGGCAAGGGCAGCTGTAAATTGCCTGCTTCTGCTGGTTACTGCACAGATGCTCATTAGCCAGGAGCTGCTGCTGCCTGGGTAAGGCCAAACAAACAGCTTAGCAGCCTTTACGTCTACTGGGTTGGTTTCGGGCAAAAGGGCTGACCCTCTTGGGGAAAAGAGAGGGAGGGATGCACTGGTATTACCTTTAGGCTGGAAATGGAGTTGTAACTGCCGAAAAAGGAAAGTTCATATACCGTAGTGAAGCTTGCTCAGTGTGTCTTTAATATAATATATAGTTCTGTATGAATAAGCCAACTTCTATTTGTGCAGTTTGAGAGTGAACGTGAAGGAGAAACTTTGTATGTCTCATTACATAGACTGGCACAATGTTGAAACTGAGTATATTCAACAGAGTTCTGCAAGACATTAAGTGCACAGTATAGAAAAACTTGTAGAACACTTTTATTAATATCATCTATCTTATGACTTAAGCAGGTAAGGGAAGTTGAAAAGCAGATACGATTCTTATAAGTAATGAATATGGTAGAGGTTCCCATCTATCTTTGAAGTTACAGGAATTTTTAACAGGCAGCCTTTTCTTTTGGGACTTGACATGTGTCATAGCTGGGGTGTTCTTCCAGTTCATCATAGCTCACAGAGAGCTTTAGAAACGGCAAGCTGGACACAGTATCACTTTGATCAGAAGTGTTTTAGTGAGTCATGGATGGGTGTTACCGAGTTACTGCTCTCAGCAGGTGGGAAGCGGATTAAAGCTGTTGGGCAGAGGCAGGATCCATGCAGGAGCCATCACGACTTTTCTGCAGGCCACTTCCCTCTTGCTCTACAGAAACCGGAGGTAACGTTTGTGCTCTATGCAGGCTGTGGGGAAGGTGGAAATTTGTTTGCGTTTCCAAGCTGTCGAGATAGTGTTTATTTCAAGGCGCATCCTTTTCCTTGTGCAACTCCGTTGAACATCAAAATGGCAGTTCTGCCAGTTGTGACCAAAAAGCACGAGAGCCACCCTTCGTTCGTGTCTTCATGCTCTAGCCTCGGTGGTTTGTTTAGGCTTCGGCCAGGGAGTGCTGCATTTTCCTTTGAGAGTTTGGGCCAGGGGCATCAGGAGACAGGTACCCTATTTGGAGACTCTCTCTGTGTTTCTAGCAGTGGTGCTGCAGTTTGGCCCTGTTATTGGTATGTTTTAGTCCAAGAATCTTGTAGAGTTTAAGTTTTTGGTGACTTCTGCTTCACCACACTTCGACGGACTGGTCTGGGGTGGTCGAACAGCCAGGAAATGTGGATGTAATCGCTCATCTCGCATTTCAGTGCTGTCCTGTGCATCTCTGGCTGAAGTAACTGCATCTCAATAGCATGAGCTGGAAGTGTAATCTGGTTAGTGCTGGTAGACGTATAGAAATGTGTTTGGAGTTTTTTCATTCTCAGATCCCATCTGATTGAGGGGTGTCAGTTATGCGTTAGGAAGGCCCATCAAAGCAATCTACAGACATGGGCTGGTCTCAGAAGACTTGGATCTCAGCACCATCAAATCATCTCCATAGCTTTTTGGCAGTTTTCAAGATTTCAGCTTACAGGTTTTGATAGGTTTCATAAGCCAACAAACAAACACATCTCTGTGACTGGATTCCCTTGTGCTCTTGACACAGCATCACCAACCAAGTATGCCCTAAAGGAGATGGGAGCAGAACACGCATGACATGGTAAAGACCGTAATTGCCCGTCTGAATTATTAATAAAACCCTAATGTGCTGAAACTGTTCCTTCATTACAGACCAGCAAGGCTGTGTTGCTCAGTTTCAGAATTACAAAATATAACTTAGATGACAAAACTTCCAGAAGTTTGAATTTCTCTTCCCCTTATGGTGATAATATAGTGGTATCTCTGATAGAGAACTTGTACTTCATATGCTATTTGTTAATCCCTTTCTTAGTTGGGATTTTCTTAGTATAGTCCTTCTTATTATATATGTGTGGTTATTGTTTACCTTAAAAATTAACTGTAATTTTTTTCAGACGCTTTTATAGAACTTCTGCTTGAAAAAATGGCAGACAGTCCTTCAAATTCCTCCTGAAGTGAGGTTACCCGGAGTGCTCATGTGAAATCTAATAAATTTGTTTTCTCTACTGCTGACAGTTATGGGGTAATCTGTATTAAGAGCGGTTCAGAAGTTCAGTAGCAAATGTTGGTTCCCTGGTCTTGCTGCAGCTGTTTAGGATGAGCATGAATTTCTAGTGATGCATTAGCAAACTCATTGCAACAGTGTGCACAGAGCATGTGAAATGCTCTCTGTGCTCCTGCTGAAACTGAATTCTATCAAATACTAGAATATTTTTGCATTCGATAATATATTTTTCTTTTCCAATCATTCAGACCTTAGGCTCAGCCCATGGGATCACCTTGTTCACGGCTTCTTTCTGCAGTAGCAGTTGGTTCTTAGAGGTTCAGTAGCAGATTTCCTGAGGACCCAAGAGTTTTCATGAGAAAACATTTGTCAGCACTCAGAATATTTACAGGAGCTTCATTACAGACATAGTCCTAAATCGGGACCTAAATAGATTTTTTTTTTTTTTTTTTTTTTTTTGGCCATATATGCCGACTACTGTATTTCGCCAAGTTTTATGCTCATTCTTATGGAGTGGGTGGTTACCAGCAGATGTTTTCTCTGGGCATGGGGCTATCCTTTTGTGTGATTTTCTCATTTCTTCCCTTACTTTCACCTTGTTCCAGATTGTCCCGCTTGAAAGATAAGGCCAAGGTCACCTCTAGGATGTCCATGCATGAGTTTTGTCTGGCAACTGACACAAAAGTCCACTCAGCCCCTCGGAGGGTATTGCAGTTGGGTGCTCCGTTTGGTTCTGAGGTCACTACACCACCAATTTGGTTGTTGACTGTTGCATACGTTGAACTGATTCAGAGCCTTAATGTATAAGAAAGGCTGATTATAGAGAAGGTGCTTATGAGAAAAAAATATTTGGGCAAAGTTGGCTTTAACGTAACTGCAGAATTTTGTCAAATTCAGCTTGTCTGTGGCTAGACTTGGCAGCAGCAGAAGAGGAATGGCACGTGTGAGAGAAATCCAGGACTTCTGCTTTATTGCACTGACAGAACCAAATTGTTCAATCTGTTGCCTCATCTGTTTCTTGCCATAGCTGGGAGATCTAAAGGTCAGGCCTTCTCAACACAAAGCAATAATAGTTAACATGCTGCATCTCACAGTGTTACCAGCTGGCTTGTGCCTTTCTCCTGTAGAACATCTAGGCTTTTGCCCAAGAAGCGTAAGCAACATCCTCTGCCTATTTTGGGATGCATCAATGTCGAAAGTTTCCGAAGGTGGTAGTATGGAAATGCCTGACGTTGCACTCACCTGTGAGGTCCAGTGCTCGCTCAGTGCAGTAATGTGTATTCTGAAATAATTCTTGAAGCCCCAAGATGCATCTTCTTGGTCCCTCTATAGCAGATTCCACAGTGGTGTTTCCTTTGAGGCAGTGCTACATGATGGGTGCCCTTCCAGTCCTCCCATCCCACCTCCTGCTGCTGCTCTGCCGCGTTGCTGCAGAGGAGCAAATGGAGCTGGGGTTGTGACTGCTCTGTGTGTGATGTCCCTGTGTGGGACTGTGAAAGGAGAGGAATGGGGACATGCCTGCAGCGCCAGAGCTGCTGTGTCACACTGCTGATGTCTTGAGCGATACGAATAAATATGGATGATACTGACCTACAGGTGCTGCTCTTGAAACTCTAAAATCTGCGCTGCAACGTGACGTGTTATGTAACCGCCTCTCTCGGGTAGATCAGATAGGTGTGAAAGCCAAGTAAACATGTTTTGTCATCCTCCTGCCCCTTCCTTAATTTTGAAATGAGTCCTGTGACTCTTTAGGTTGTTATAATCACCCTCCCTCACTCTTTTATTTTTTTTTAATGTGTTTTTTAATATGTGTTAAATGATGTTTTTTAATATGTGTTAAATGCTGGCGCTCAGATGAAGATTAATGACATCCTCTTGGCAGCCTTCAACAAGATAAAAACAGGAGTAAAAAGCCAATTATTCCTCCCTTCTGCCCTAGTTGCCTCAGTGCTCTTGGGTGCATGGGGAGGTTTCTTGCACTGCATCCCCTAGAAGCATCTTTCAAACTCTAACCTGCCAGGATCCCAGAGCTCCTCGTGCACAGGCTTGGGGCCTCTAAACCCTTCGGTTCTGCCGGGGGAAGCGGTAGCTTGTGACCGTGGTTGATGCCGTGGCGTGTGTTGGGCAGGTGACATGGGAAGCAGAGACAGGGCACAATACAAGTATTGTGTCATTTTGACTGTCCAGTCGTGTCTTGGACCTTGGCAAGCTGTTTAATTGTGATTTATTTTTAATCCCTGCAAGGTGCCATACTTGGCAGATCAGAAACACAAGAGTGCATCTACTACAACGCTAATTGGGAGAAGGATAAAACAAACCGCAGTGGCATTGAACCTTGCTATGGTGATAAAGATAAAAGGCGACACTGTTTTGCTACGTGGAAGAATATTTCTGGATCCATTGAAATTGTGAAACAAGGTTGCTGGCTAGATGACATCAACTGTTATGACAGGTAAGCAAGTTTTCTGCAAATCTTCAAGTTATTAGTAATCTAAAACTCCTTTTTTTTGCTGTTCCTTTTTTTGATACAATGGCCCCTCTGCAGCAGTGGCTGAAGAAAATGCAGATAGATTATTTCTTAACAACCTACACACACTTTTTTCCCTTGCTTTTCTTGACTGAGAGACCTAAATCCTAAGTAGTTAGTCGTCCTTACAGAACAGCATGAGCTACTTTCCTATATATCTAATAATACTTAATTTTTATGTTTTTTTTTAATCTTTTATATATAAAGAATCGCCTGTTTAATTATTTTCGTGTCTAGGCTATTAATAATATTTTTTCAGGGCTTGTTATTGTCAAGCAATACAAATACAGTATTGAAACAAAACTGCAAAATTAGAATTCAGTGTTTCTAAATCTTTAGGAAACAGGGCGCTCTGGCTCTGTTCTTTATGTGACCATGGAAGTGTTGTGCCTGTTTATTAAAAGCTCAGCTCAGTGGCAGCTCTAAGAGATGTCGAATATTTTAAAATCCCAGTCCTTTCTGTGGAACAGATGGTCTAGCAAGTACCCATGAGCAGAAACAGCAGGGCTTGAGTTTTGCTAGATCCTGACTGAATAAAGGTCGTGACTCTTTCAAGAAATAGCGTGATAGTTCTTTGAAGTATTAGACTAACCTGTGTTAGACAAATTAGTTATTGTTTGCAAAGGGAGAGAATTAAGAAAATAAATACATAGCGGGTCTTTTTTTAAGATGCAATTCTGAAATGCAGCTAAAAATAGTAATGTAAGACTTTCCTTTTTTATTTCTTAAATACTGAATGAAAACAGTCATCTCTGTAAAAGGAAGAGTTTCCCCACACAGATCTCTGTTCCCTGTTTATGGATAGCTTAGAGCTAAATTGAACAATCCTTCTGATATGTGTGCTTCTCAGAAGTAGTAAGGTATCTCCAAGTTCACTTGCACGGCACAGCTGAAATTCTGCTGCATTGGAGGCAAAAGATGATCAAGAAACCTTAATTCTTGCTACTGGTATCTAGTAAATCAGCTGCCATGATGGGCAATTTTTCTTTTTCCTCCCCGCTCCTTCCTTGGCCGTAACTTTGGTGAAGAAGTGAGAATGTTTATCATTTCTTTAAAAAAGTTCTCTTTCCTACTCCTCTCCAACCCTTGTGACAGACTCCTGTGAGGCTGTGCCTGAGCACTAGCTGTTGGATCATTTATGTGTCGCATTTATAAAGCAAGGCGGTGGTGTCTTCCTCATGACTCTTGTGAGCTATTGACATACATCTTTCTAGTGACTTTTTTGGATGTTGCTTTGGAAATAATAAAATGTACTGATTCCGTTTCAACATTAATGACATTTCATTGCAGTATGAAACGATGAATAAAATTTAATTACTTTATTTCTTGATATTTAACTTTTATATGAATAGTAAGATTTCTTGGCAGATTACTGAAGTTCCATTTCTATTTTAAATAGGAATGTATGTTTGTTTTCCTGAGCAAAATAGTTTAAGATTAATAAGACTTATTCCTCTCTTTTATAGGAATGATTGCATAGAGAAGAAGGACAGCCCTGAAGTGTTTTTCTGTTGTTGTGAAGGCAACATGTGCAACGAACGTTTCTTCTATTTTCCAGAGATGGAGGTCACCCAACGTAAGTCACTCTAATGTGTTCAGGAAGAAACTTCTTAGCAGAGGTCAGAAGCACTTCATTTTGTGCATAGTCACATCAGACACTTCGGGGTTCTGGTCAGCCTTCCCTACCAGGAAGTTTCTGATTCCCAAGTGGTGAAGAGCTGTGTGCTTTCGTAGACAGAGCCTGAGAATTGTCTCTTCACTTCTGCAGCTTGAAAGGACTTTATACTAGAAGAAAATAGTTTAAATTGGTAGAAAGGAAAAAAAATTAGAAGAAAGATACTTTTCTAAATGTAAGAAAGAATGATAATCTGAAATTATTTGCTATTTTAAGGTACACGGCTTATTGTCACATCTTACCTTGATTGTATGAATGAGCTTATAAAAGGCCTTAAATCAATGTGGTATAAGCTGTACCTTCCATGTGTGTATGTACAAGCCTATGAATGCTTTTCCTCTAGAAATAGTGCTATTTTTTTACAAACTAATTGAACCCTGTAATTTCTCTGCAAATTGACAGAGTAACCTTTAAAAAAGGGAAAAGGTTTCTTACTAGGTAACAAAGATAATCGGTCACATTAAGCAAATAAATATTTTAAAAACAATAACTGAAAGATTATTAGATTATTCCTGCTTACCTTCTTCCAGTGCGAAATCTAATCTTAGTTGGAAAACAAATTAATTTTAATAACTGAACTGAAAACAGAAATTGCCTTGAGTGCCAAACAGTCAGAGGAAGTTGTTTATGAGAGTAATTCCATTTTATGTGAGATTAAAATAGCCTTCACTGACCCCAAGTGACGTTCTTGGCCGGTTTGTCACTGTTACTGCTAACACAACAGTTGCCATTGTTGTCATTTGCCTTATACTCTTTTTGTCCCAAAGATCTGTGGCTCCCCCCTGCCAGCTACCCCAGGAGCAGGGTTGCTCTGAAGTCCTTCCCGAGTCCTGCAGAAGAGTCTTGAACTAATGGCTCTTTCTTTTGAGCAAATCAACAGTGCAGACAAACTTTGGCAGATTATTTCTGGCCTGTTCGACTTACTAATGAAATCATATTCTATATATTTTAAAGATTAAACTTCTATATTCTTTTTTCGTTAATTAAGCGAGGGCAGTCTTGAGAAACTTTTTTTTTAATATAAACACACTGTAGGCACGTACATAGAACTTAAAGCACAAACAAAACAGGATGTGCTGATCCATAAATCTGGAGGTCTAAGTTATTTTTGTACTTTTTAAAATGTTGCCTTTAAAATCTGTTTCAGATTTTCAGAGTGCATTTTAATTAAATATTTCTTGCCAGTAGTGCTGATTAGAAGAGCTTTGAGAAAAACAGGATCCTAGATGATCTTTAAGATGTTTTGCAAAAAGTAATCTTTTTTTTTCCCTTCCCACCAGCAACTTCCAATCCTGTTACACCTAAGCCACCTCTGTTCAATACCTTGCTCTATTCGTTGGTGCCTATAATGGGAATTGCCGTGATTGTCCTCTTCTCGTTCTGGATGTACAGACATCACAAACTAGCGTATCCACCTGTGCTCGTTCCGACCCAAGTAAGTTGCTGGATTTCTTTATTTAACATTAATTTTTCTTGTGAAAGGTAAAAAACACTGTCTGGAGAGGAAAGGGTAAAAGGAAGTGTGCATCTGTGACATGACCGAGGTTTGTGTTACACACCTTGTTGAAAGGTGTTAGTACTTATTTTTCTGGTTTGGTGGCTACCGACTTTTTATTTAATACCCCCCCCCCATCTGCTTTAATTAATTGGTATTTGATGAACACCTGAGAAGCTTCTTAACATATGTACATGTCTATGTCTTTGAGGGGGGAGAAATAAACAACACAGCTTAAGATGGCAAAGACTTAATATTGCAGGATGGGTGTGGGAAGACTCTGCTCCATGTGGTTAAGGGCTCACTTGTGTGAAAGTTGCCTGCAGCTGGTTTCAGGTACTTATGACTGAGCCTTATGTAATGCTTTACTTAAAAGCAAAATGAAGCAGGGAGGCTGATACCGACCGCACAAGATCACAACGGCAATTAGCAGGGAGCAGAAAATAGTAACGAGTGGAAGCACAGCTATTAAAACATGGAACTGAGATACAGGCACCATTTAAAGGGAGGAGAAGCCAAGTACTCGTTGAAACAAGGGACTGGCCTTAGCCTGCGTGGTGGCCTTACGCTCAATGCTGTCATCTTTTTCTTACTTGTTCAGGCATTTTGTACTTTGCCTTTACATTCCCAATTTTACCAGCGTTTGTTTTATCTGGAGAACATTTTAGGAGCACGATCTCACAATCTGAAATGTCAATTGATGGTGCTGGGACAATGTGCAAATTGTCTGGCCGCGTGGCCCTAGTTCCTGCTTTTGTTGGGCTGTGGAAGATCCTCTGAGCACAGCTACAGCGCTCCTGCTAGAACTGCCTTTCCTTGTGCTCAGTCGTGTCTCAGCATCTGACGGAGATGAGAAGGCAATTCTGAAAGCCTCTGAAAGCAACAAAAGCATCGGGACTGCAAACCCTTCAGAGCCAAAGCAAGAACAACGAACCAAATAGGCCCTGTGTTCACAGGGGTAAAGCTGCTTGCCCAGGGTCACACAACTGATGGGTTTTTGCAGATATTTTGCTTCCTAATTTGGGACAGTGACCTCTGGGCTTGAATACAGTCATTCTGGGGGAAAGTGGCATTTAAAAACGGCTACGTGAGTTTTCTGTGGACTTCACTGATATTTTCAGTGTTGCTGCTTGGCTCCAGGGTGTTCCAGGGAGCATTGCTGCCTGTCATTAAACAAAATTGTTTTCAGTTCCGTATTAATAAGAAAAGCTGGGATGAGGAGAGGGAACAGCAGGAGTAAGTACTTGCCAAATAAAGGACATAATGTAGAGGAAAAAATACGTATTTCCTGGCCCTGCAGAAAAATATTAAACGTACGTCCTCAAACTTTGTGCTGTCTATTAGCATGAACTCTTGCACCCATAAAATTTTTCTGTGTTTTGAGTTTTACATTAACCTAGAAGATTTCTTTATAAGAACAAAGACAGGAGTGCTAGATCTGTCAGTAACTTCAGGATGTAATTTCCCTTCTAAAGTTAAAATGAATACAGGTTAAAGTGCTAGGAAAGCACTGACTGTTGTGTGTCTTTGTGTGTGATGAACAGAGAACTTGAATTTTGGTGCTTTTCTTCCAGTTTATTCTAGGTCTTTTGTTGCCTGGTTTGTGTGTGATACAAGAGTGGATACGTCATAACCTTTTATTAAATAGGATAAAGATCTCTTCTGTTAATGTTCTGATTATATCTGTGCGGATAAATATATGTTGTGTATGGGGTAGCTGTGGTGTAATAACACTTTCTCATCTTGTGGTGAACGAGCATTAAGGTTGGATGTGGAAAGTCGGGAAAAGCTACTCCTGTTTGAAAAACTAAATGAAATTATGAAAATAGAATGTAAAAAATATTCTAATGTATGCAGCAGAACTGTATTTCTCAACTTTAAATTTGATTAGAGCTGATTTGAATAGGAGGCCGAGGAAGCAGGAACACTTTTATAAACACCAAATATTTAAATATTTATATACTGAATAAATTAAATATTGATATAATATTTAATAATAATCAGAGCATTATCTGAAGTTTTCAGGCAAATTAATTTCTTCCCCTAGGCTTGCGAGGCCGGATGGTCAAATGGATTGGTAACTAGAATTAGTAACTAGAAAAGAGTGATTCATGTATTGATTTCTGTATGGAATCAATAATACCAAGAGCCTCTTGCTCTTTTCCCTTAGTCTGCTCCGAGAAGATAAAAGGAGTGTCAGGGTGCAGAATGGCCCTGTACTAATCTTTCCTTCCCTGGAAGTTAAAGGGTGGATGAGTAAAAATAGAAATGAGAAAATATAGGACAGAGATAGATAGATTTTAGAAGAATTAGCAGAAGAAACATACGAGGAAAGTGGAAGTATGCATTTGTACATTGTATAGGAACATAGTATAAGGAAAGAAAGTGCAAGATTGCAAAGAATGAAGTAATTAGCAAGAAGAAATGTTTGAAATTGAAACTTCGAACACTCAAATGAGGTGTTAAGGAGAAACTTTGGAGAAAATGGAAACAGTTTCATTTTCTTTAAAAAACAAAATTGTTTCCCAGTGTGTGCACGTATTAAGGGGCAGCTCCTGCACAGTTGAGGTTCCTGGTTGTGTGGATTATCTTATCTTCATATTCCTTTTGGATAAATAGATACCTATGCAACAACTCATACAATAAGAGCAGTTTTTTATAATGAATTTAAGTTTGCATTTCCTGACTGGTTTCTGCTGGGTGTTTTGGTTGGAGAGAGCTCCCAAGGAGCCACTATTGCAGTAGGTAACTAGGGCTGAGCTCCGTGCCAGTGTCTGCAGCACAAGTGCAAAGGACTTGGCAACTGGTTACTCCATTTGAAGTAGTTTGGACCGTTTTCCTAGGGGTTTAGGGTAACTGAGGTTCCTGTTCAGGCCGTGGGTTCCTTGGCCACGGGAGCCACTGCTCCTGCTGCTGCTCCCTGCAGTTCTGTGTTAGAAATGCCCGTCTCTAGTTCGAGCCGTGAATCCTCTGCCTCACTGTATTGTCTGGTGCCTGGTTAAAACAGACTGTCAAATTCTACAAAATCTGTCACTTCGATAGTTCTTAAATGAGTTATTAGCAATAGTAAGTTTGCAAAATATATATAACATTTTGAAGGGCCTGAATCGCTTACTTATATTTGATCTTACCACGCAACAAAATTATATGCATACAGCTGATCAAATTTACCTGGAAATGGGTTAGTGTGCTAAATACCTTCATCTGTGTGTGTTTGTACAGAAAGAATTGCTCTTGCTCTGTTAATGTGCAGTCCTCAGCACCAAGTACACCGAAAATCAGACTGCAGTCTGTGTGGACAGACGTTTTCACTCACAAAATGAGAGATAGTTCAGATTCCCCACAGCATCTGACTAATATTCCTGGTGGAAACGTGCCTGTGGCCGGCCAGGAGCTCACATGCTCGCTTATGCTCCTTTATTTTTCAGGTGTCTTGAGCCTGGGCCAGGGATGTCAGTTACTGCTAATTACAAGTGCAGCGTTAGCCCTCTCTCATGTGACCGATAGGACCATAACCTATTTTATAGTGTCATAAATGACACACAAACGCGTTTGCTTTCTGCCGGTTCACACAGGTACGGGTGCAGCAGCTCTCCTCGTGTTGCAGCCATACTGTGCAAAGAAAATTAACTGTACTGTGGTTGAGCACCCATGTTATGAATGTCCTACTGGATCATGGAGTTGCTTTTTGGTTTTAAAGTAAGAATCATATGTTGAGAGGGTTGAGAAAAGCTTTGCGGATTTGCATAACATTTTTTTCATAACCTACTTTTTATGCTCTCTTTTGAAACATTTGAAGTGACTTGGGGTCAAAGATGCTTCATGTTCTTATCGTCTCAGAGCACAAGAAGGTCCTGATCCAGGCCAGCAAAGTATTACCTAAAATTGAAGAATAATGATCAGCATCTCCTGCCCTTCTTGGAACTTTGAGAAAGGCAAACTCGGTTGCTAGGAATTACCATTTCTCTTTAATTTCCTTAGAGAGGATTCCACAGTTGAAAAATAGGACTGCATATTATGCTTTTTAGCCTCCTGTATGTCACTTCCATGAACTCTTTACGCAGTATTCCCTGAATTGAGCACAATTCTGGTATAAAGTTAAAAATACATTTAGCACATATGGCTGCACCTCGCTGGTGTGCATCGCGTACGAGATGAACCAAGAATTAATGTCACCTGGGGCCCGTCTTTGGAAGAGACACCGATCTGGTTGTCCCTCTGGCCTGGAAGCCCCTGAGGCGAAGGCAGCTTGGTGACCATCAGGAGCTGTCCTGTCCTGGAGCTTGGTAGGTGGCTTCGTCACAGCCATGTCGGGAGCAGCTTCCCTCTGCGCATCTCCTCCTGAAGACCTGGGCTACAGAGACCTTGTTGGCCTTAGGTCTAGGGTTAGGAGATACTCCAAACATGCAGGAAGGTTGACGTTAGGCAGTGTTAGTTTAAAAAGGAGGACTGAATGATCTTGAGACCTGAACTGCTAGAAGGGTGTGGGACTGTTGTTTAATACTGCATGTGAGCACTTCAGGCCTGGAAAGGGTTTCTCCTACTACCCGATTCAGTCATTAAGTGGAATTAGAGAGGGGAAGGATCTGGTGTGTTCCCCAGTTGTGGTACTGAGGGGTCTGCTGTGATACAAGTGCTTAAAACCAAATGCCTAGATGGGGGCTGTAACAGTGCGCTAGAAAAGGCACTATAGGCAAGGAGTCCTTAAGTGTGCAGCTGGTAGATGGCTGCTAAAAGCATTTGTGGGCCATTACATAAGTAGTTACTATAGATCTTTACCAGAACAAATAATTTATATGGCAAATAATTGGAGCCCAAGTATTTGAAATGATGCATGCTTATTTAATACTACATTTGCATAAAAACAGAGTGTCCATTTCCAGATCTTGATGATTTTGTTTTTAAATTAAAAAGAAAAAGTCCTTGTTTCTTAATTTGTT